TTTCTCTGTTTGATTCAAGGTCTCGAAGGTTGAAATCTCAGGTTGCTGTGGAAACAGCTGCTGTGCTGTGATGAAGGTTCACTAAAGCTGCTGTGTCACTGAGATCATGAAATACGGGAAAAAAAAACGTTTCTTAATTTAAAAAAAGTTCAGGTTTTGCAGCCGTGTCTTGAGTCATCCCTCCTTGCTGCCAGTGAGTCAAACCTTCATGTTTTCATTGAAACACTTTTTAATCAGCGGTTCCTCCCACCACCTGCAGGTCTRGGACCTTAACAAGCCACACTTCTTCTCTAACCCCTCACTTGTTTGCTGGTCTTTTATTTTACACACAAACTGCACAATTTGCCGTCACAGAACAAAAACTGAACTGAAAACGAGTGAAAAATCAACCCGAGTCCAAAGAAAAACACGAGAAGTAACAGAAACTTACTGATGGAGACAGAAACGATAATGCAACAAAAATGATGCTTGAAAGCAAAAGTTAAGGGCATCTGGAGTGGTTTAACACGTGTACAGGACTAATTAACCCTTAAATAATGAGTTTAATGATAGGCATGAAGGTCAGTTTGAATCAAAAAACATAGTTTTGCTCCTGATGTGAATCTGTTGCATCTCAAACACRTCTGTGCTTAAAAAGATGTAAATAATCGACACATAGAACAAAAAAGCAGCTGTAAATCAGTTCATGCTCAAACAAACTGTGTGAAATCATTTCAGGTAATTGATTGAAAGATAAAAACTCTGTTTTCTAGTCCTCCTCCTTCTCACGTCTCTGTTAACACTACTTATCTTGTTCACCTTTGTCTCGCTGCATCTGCAGACATTTTCACGGCCTTTATATTATGCTAATCAAAGCATCCTGCACCACATAGTGTCTCTTATTTCTCCCATTCTCCTGTTGCTGAGCAACTGTTGCTTCTTGTCTTCCTCCTTTTATTTCTTCCTCACTTCATGTTTTTTTTTTATTGATCGCATTTTCTTCTTCTTTACGCGTTTGAAACCAACAAAAATGCAGGTTAAACTCAAGTTTCGTTTGGGGATTTTGTTTTCAATGAACATAAATTGTTACTTTGTAATAACAGTTAAAATGTGCACACAGAGTTTTATAAACGCATGTTGACCACTTGTTTATTGTGCAGCCATTGTTGTCTCTGCAGAGGTCACCTCAGGACAGCTGGCCGCGTGCAGCTGTTGTCAAACTTTCACTCCATCATTTGCAAAGAGAAGCCAGCGAGGCTGAAATAAGTGCTGCAGCTCATCTGCTGCACCACACAATGCATCTCTTTACATCAAAACGGATGTTTTGCATCAAATGCATCTTTTAAATAAACCAGGCTCAGCTGGACATGATGCACACTCACAGACTTGTGCAGAAACATTAAATTTTATCTGTTTTTAACAWGAAATGTGCAAAAATTTGATTTGATTCACATTTTTTTGTTGGTRAAATGTGGAGATTTGTCCCCAAACAGCTGCATCATTACGATTTTATGAGGCAGTGAACGCCACATTGGCAGGATGGAGGGTGTTACTGCTCAAACTAAAAAACCCCAAATATTTTTACACGTCTGCTAATGAGGGCTGGAAGAAAGCAGGAGCTGAGCCTCTGAGAGGCTTGTGGAAACGYGGGGACAACACTTACAGCCTTTAAMTGAGATCAAGACACCAGAGTGGAAATGGAGAGTCTGCAGAAGTGTGCTCATGTGAACCTCGTTTCATAAAAAAAAGATTTTAAAGCAAAAACCATTTGCAAGAAACTAAAAGAGAGCTGAGAATAGAGATTCAACATTTCTTTTGACCTTTATGAAAACATTTCTTGCAGTTTTGAAATGTTATGTGCTCAAATCCTCCACTTTTACTTCACTGGGCTTCTTCTCCGAACCCTTAAAGGGACAGTTCGGTCATTTTTGAAGGGGATGTTTAAAACAGTTTATAAAAGCAAAGGAAAACTTTGTTTGGTTAGCCTTTAGCTTAGCAGAAGAACCCTTTTAAAAATGACCGAACTATCCAGAGCCGGCTCTTGGCATAGGCGAACTAGGCGGTTGCCTAGAGCGCCATCTGCTGGAGGGGGCGCCAAACTGCAGAAGAAAAAAGTAATTATTTGTAATCTCTGGTTGTAACTCTGCTCAGCGCCCCCTTTCAATTAGCTTTTTCTTAAAAAACTATAATGAAGTATTACAGGAAAAATAAACTACTCTACCCATAAAATTTTTTCTCTCCCCAATGCAGCGATTGACCCCACCCTCTCTCTCATTTGATTGACGTTGCACTGACTCGTCCTGCTCYGACACTCTGACGGGGGAGGGGCTAGTAGTGCCTCTCAGGTAGCGGTTCATGTTGACAAACTCAATAACAACAAGTCTGTATTTTGTTGTCCCGTACATGTCAACCTCTTCGGTCGTTTACCTGGATAAAAAGCTTCAAAAATCCGTAAATTTTTGCAAAAATTTCCTGCGAAGCAGGAGGAAAGGAGTGCGGAAAAAGTTCAAAACTTATTTCTACTGGCAGAACAGGTTGGAAGCTGGCTATTTAATGTTTTTTATTGTTTTTTTAAATCATCCTACAGGCTCTGACATGTTGATAAATTTGAAAATGATGTTTTGAAAAAATCCGTAAGACTTGAAAAAAACCCGTCCGTATACCTGCAAAATGACGTAAAATCCTTATAACTTACGGACAGTCTGTACAAGTTGACATTCATGTTGTTATTTATTTGCTTTCTGGGAAAGCAAATAAATCTAAGTTTACCACAGTACCTTACACTGTCAAACTTGTTTTTAGAGGTTCAAATTGGGGTGGGTGGGACATAGGAGGGGGGGGGGGTTGCGCTTCAACTTGCCTAGGGCACCAAAATGGCTAAAGCCAGCACTGGAACTATCCTTTTAGCTTTGTCTCAGTGAGGCCGCAGCTGTGTGGAAGCCCAGGAGGAAACAAATATTCATGCAGAACTGTAAAATTTTATGCTCATTTGCATCTGCAGAGCGCGGTCAAGCTGCAGCGTGTCAGYGCCAGCTTTAATCAGCTCCACATGCTTTTCTGACCTTTACTCCACCTTCCAGCAACGTGCGGGGGGGTTCTGCAACCATATGTTTGGGATGGAGACCCCTGTAGGGTTAAATCTGCTGAAAAACACCAAATKATTCATATGAATAAGTCAAAAGGAGTCCTGACCTTATGCCGTTTGTCCGCAGGTTCTTCTTATTACGACAACGTGAGGCCGCTGGCGTATCCCGACTCCGACGCTGTTCTCATCTGTTTCGACATCAGCCGGCCCGAGACGTTGGACAGCGTCATCAAGAAGGTTGTTCTTATTTATGTGTCTGTTCCCCAAAAGGTTTCAGAAACCGTCGTGCAAACTGATGGGCTTTAAAGCTCCTGATTCAAGATGGCCGCCACAACCAGCTGAGCTTAAAAACACAAAAATGACAATAAGTCCGTCAGTTCTACAGGTGTTTAAATTAGGTGCATTCATTCTTCACAGTTAAACACATCAGTGTCTAAAACCTGTGATGCAGGAGAATAAACCACAGGAAAAAGAAAAATCTTTATTTTTGTTCTGATTCAGTCCATCGACTCAGATTTTCCGTGCCGCGCTGCTTTTCACGGTGCAACAATGGAGTAAATCAGTGCGGAGGCTGAAGCCTCTCGTTCTTCTCCCCCTTTCATCAAAATGTCTGCGGACTCTTGACCTGCATCCCTGCAAGAAGGAAAAGGTCGACGTGAAGAAAGAAAAGAGAGGCTTTCAGCCGAGGAGGCTCGAGAGGAAAATGCAAATAAGTCGCCTTATCGGCGGAGCTGAGCCGTCGGAGTCTCTGCAGAAGTTTTATGATTAAATTAGAGTTTTATGCGGAACGACTGAGTGCAGCAGCTAACGTGGCTAATTATCGCTCGCTGCTGAAGAGATTGTTTTTACTCATTTCTTTTTGTCTTATAAACTAAAGGAAAGTCAAATTAATCATTGGATGAACGTGAACTGTTTAAAGCAATTCAAAATGGCCGCCACCACCAACTGACCTTAGAAAACACAAATAGTCTAAAGTGCCTGTAACATCAAATTTTTGTAATAAAAATTAAATAATTTTTGCAAAGATAACATTAATAATATATTGTGAAAAAAAAACACTGCTGAGATGAACAGGTGTTCAGATGTTCACGTGAGGCAACAGGAAGTGATGTCATAAGTCTAAACTCGAACAGAGCATTGATAAAATGGCCGACAACACAGAGTGTAGAGAAGAATCTGATGTTTCTTTAGATTGAGATTAGGTAGAGATTAAGAAAAGTCAGAGATTATTATTATTTTAATAAACAAAGATSAAAGAGTTTCTTTTCTTAAAGAGTTCCCCTTTGATGTCACTTCCTGTTTCACTTTGTCTGAGCCAAGTTCAAAAGAAAATATACCAGTTATGTGACAAAATGGGTAAAATCCCATTTTATGCCAACTCTCTTAAATATAAGGATGTTTTCTTTGATCTTTTGTATTTGAGGGATATATTTGTCACACACTCTAATGTAWAATGAGCTAAAACTTGTTGGTCTGTTAGTAAAATATCCCACGAACCAATAAATGGATCTTTATTAACCACATCCTGTGCATCTACAACTTATTATTTGGAGTCACCCCAATTAACAGATGAATGATATCAAACACAAATACGACTGTAGCTGCGTTTCCACTGACCATGAAAATGTGCAAATTAGAATTTCGAAAATAAATTTTCTCAATGGAAACAGGTCAATTTTGAAAAAAATTACATTACGTTTTTCGACAAAATGTTTTTGCACTAGGATGAGGTGGTT